GCTGGGAACACCGCTTTGGCTTATTAACTGGTGTGAGAGCGAGCTCCCTCTGATTTTATCTTACCGGTGATTGTATTGTTTGAGTGACATCGGTACATTACTAATGTTCAGAATAAATGTGGTGTAATGCCCCTACAGTCTTCATCAGGCCAGAGAACACTTGAGCGAAAAGCTCTCCACATGGGCTACAGCTCAAATCTGAGTTAGCCTTCTTTCTGTGTAACTTCTGTGGCTTTGTGGGCTTCATTGCATACAGTTACGAATCCATGCAGACAGTCAACCATGCCTTGCTGTGGATCTGTTCATCACCATGTAGGACCTTCTAGTTTTGGTCTAGAGAAACGAAGCTGTCCACATCCGATACATTTTTTTCCATAATATCCTCCAGCGTCATGGACTCATGTTTGCACTTTCCTCTTGTTGAAATTGCAGACAAGAATCACTCTGATTTATTGGTGACATCTAATATAGCTGTGTTTATATTGTTGCCAATAAAATGACTTACATGATTGGTTTTTGTTTATACAATCTTTACTGAGGAGTCAGTCACCTGTGTTAGAACAAGGTACATTCTGCTTATTAAAATGAACTCTTGGGCTATAAGAACATTCAGCTCTATCTGTCCTTGATTAAATTGCACAGTGTGCTTCACACTGCAGCCGTGCATGAGAATACCTTCTATTATCCATCGGTAGCGTTTTCATTTCCATATTCTTCTGGCTACAGAAGCTGTAACAGGAGAAGCCCAGGAGAATAGCACGGGCCTATTAAACGATGAAGGCGGTGAAGTTGAAATGACAGAGCTTAATGCAACTATGCAATCATTAACCCAAAAGGGAAGGTGGAAACAGTAACATGTTATGGATGGCTTCAGCAGCTACAGGCGAACACTTGCACGTGCACACGCGCAACACACACATGCACACACAAAACACATGAGCATACACATGCATACATGTGCATGGGCCAAGCACACACCATGAATGTGAACATACACGCACTTACGTCAATATGCACATATGTCAATATGATCATATTCAGGCTCAGTTCGGTGTGATGCTTTGTGCTTCATCAACAGGATTTCTTTTTTTGTGTATGTGTGCAGGTTTAGAAATGCTTTTGTCATTAGGAACGGAAAATATAACAAAGGCTAAATCTAGCCTAAGGAAATGAAATGATGTATGAAAATTAATAATTAACCGGCTCATCAGATGAATTATGACTGTAGATGAGTCTATTAATGATATTTACTAGGAAAGGGCCTTTGGCTGTAAATAGGCATTATGGAACTCGTTTCTGGAGTTTTCTTGAATGGACGAGTTAACGTTATTTTCATTTGTTTAATCTCTCTTAGTCCACAAGGAGCAGTGCCTAGAGTGCTGGGACAAAGGTGGAGTCATGATTTTATATTTTGATCAAAGTTGATATTTTTTTTCAGAAAATGAGTGGCTTTATTAAATTGTTTTCTACCTTAGTTTCCTTAGGGGTTAAGTCATTTCCTCTCTGACCTGAATTACAGGAGTGTGTTTTAAGAGTTTGAAAGTGGTCAAAAGGAAAGATTTCGCAACTCATTAGCAGACTGAACATTTTCATTGTGAGAACCAATGGAGTATAAAAATCTAAATATGGCAAAATGTCAGATATGAAACACCTGAAATTTACATTTCTGAATGCTCATTACCTTTTGCTTTAAAAAGTATTTATCCTTTTTTTTTTTTTTTTTTTTTTCTTGGTAGTCTTGAGGAGAGTATTTGGGCATAAGACAGGAGTGGAAGCTTTGAAAGGGTTTAGATAAAAAGAGGGGCCTGGAGAGATGGCTCAGAGATTAAGAACAGTGGCTGCTCTTCCAGGGGACCCAGGGTCAGTTCCCAGCACCCAGTTTCAGGGGATCCGACACCATCTTTGGGCTCTGTGGGTAGTCGTCAGACACACAGCTCAAATACAGCATAAACATGTATGAAATATAAGTAAACATGTCCTTGATGAAAGGGGTTCTTTCAGTGGAATTTTCCAGATTAAGTTTAGGATACTACTTGCTGTGATTTCATCGTAGAAGAATATCCATTTCATGCTGTATGCTGTTTTTCCTGCCCATGCTGTCTGTGCTTGGCGTTGGAAGAGGCTGTCTCACCCAGTGCTGTTCCCTCCCCCCACTGTTCCTTCCCTCCCCAGACCCGTTGTTGCTTTAATTGTGCTGGCGGAGAGTGCCACTGTTTTTGCTTGCACAGGTCCTCCAGATTTCATTGATAAAGAAACGGGTTCTACATATTAATTAGTTACGATAGTAAATGAATTTTTAAAACATTACTCATCTAGAGTATTAGGGAAGAGAACGCCAAGAGACCACAGTGATGATATTTGTTGTACTCAGGCTTTTATGATGGAAAACTGTCATTTCAGGGAGCTTGTGACTTAGGGCTAGGTCTTAACATCCTGACTTCTTGTTTGTTCCTCACTGACGCTTGAGCACTAGTCTTTCCTAAAGCCAAGTGGCTTACTTCTGCCGTATTACCCAGTGGGCTTGAGATGATATTGTGGTCAATGGCTTAGTGCAGAAGCATATGAAACGTTACGCTATGAATAAACAATTGGTTTCTATGTATTGGTATCTAATACTTGAAAATCTGTTGACATAATTCATGTGAAAACTAGAATTTTAGGCATATTTACCCATGAAGCTGCTGCTTTTTTTTTCTTTTCATCTTACGTGTTATTTTTCTCATGTTTTTTTTTTTTTTTTTTTCTCTTCCATTTCATGGGTGGTTTTGCTTAACTTAGATGCTGCTCTATTTTTTTGGTGGCTTCTTTCTCAGTTATAAAATTTGAGTACATTTTGTCATTTTTTTCTTTAAACCTAAGGCTGTTTGAAACAGGAATGCACTTTATGAAAAAAAGCAAAATAAATATTCATGTAAGACATAGGTGAGGACCTGTTGCTTAATTATGTTCTTAGCTCTTTGAATTCCCATCCTGTAGAGTCACCTTCCTAATGACCAAGCCTAATGCTGGAATACTTAGTGATTGTTTTTTGATACAGACTTTGATGAGAACTGCTTTTATGTGATGCAGGGGAAAAAAACTGACTCTTTTCTGAAAAAACAAAACAAACAAACCAGTAATGATGAGTCAGCAGATATGCACACACTTCCCACTTGGTCATGATTTAAGTGACTCCAGTCATTTTGGACCATTCTTCATTTTTAAAAATTTGCCAATATGGCGGATTTATTTACTGTTTTTATTTTTGGTGGGTACAGAATAAATGCTTTCTATGGAAGTTCAGAGTGCTCAGAAACCACTGTTTTACGGATGAGTGGAGATTGGATAATGATTTTGGATTCTTGCTCAAGATTAACCAATCAATGGATGAAGTTTGTGCCTGGGAATTAGCTACAGCTCCACGCACACACAGCAGACCACGTGTGAGGAGTTTTCCGCTGTCAAAGAAAACCAGACTTTTAGAACCAGTTCAATAGCAGACTCCATTCTTACTGTTTCATAAATGAACCTAAGTCATGAAGCTTTGGATCCCTTGGACTTGTCTGTGAGACTTGTAATGGTGAGGAAGCAGGGGTGATAGCGTCTCTTAGGACTGGCAAAGCTAAGTGTCATCACAGGGCGGCATTCTCCTCTCCGTAAAGGAGATAAAGATTAGATGCTAATTTTTATGTCTGAATTGCATACAAAGCACCCCAGCATAGGCACACATGGTAAGTTTTACGGAAAGCATAGTGACCATTTAAGTTTTTTTTTTTTTTTTTTTTAACTTCCTAAACTGTCGAAAGAAACAATTTCCTTGAAAACATGTTCTTTTCTTGCTGGCCTTCTCGTGATGATTGATGGAGTCACTTCTTTTGGAGCTGAGGTGAAAATATTTATTCAGGTCCTCAAGTGGATCATTAGGGAACAGTCCCAAGGCTCATCGTATGGAGGGTGTGTAGATGCCCCTGCAGTAATCTTAGTCTTCATTTCCTGGCTGCTTCCCAGGACTGTCTTCTCTCTATTAAGGACAGATTGTGGATGTTGCAGACCTTTTCAGTCGAGGTACCACTGTGACACTTGGCCACCTGCTGATGCCTACCCCGGAGAAGGAGCAGATGTTAGAGCGAAGAGCCTTCCTTAGTGGTTAGAACTAGGGAGCGTTGGTAGAGAATGGAGCTCTGTGCATATGTCCGTACATAGATTTCTGCTCCTCCTGGAGCCCCCCCCCAACAGTAGGTCTTTCTGTGAACATACCAAGCACCCCACCTTTAAGAGTTCCTATTTTCCTGTGCTTTCTATGAGGTATTGTTTGTAACGTTTGCCCTTTCCAAGACCCTCGTTTGGAAGGTAGAGAGTTGTGGCATTGCCTCTGTTTCTGTCCCCGTAACTCAGGATCAGTAAGGAGCTAAGGTCCTGATGTTGCTGTAGTAAATATTTAAATATTAGGATTTATGAAAATTAATATTCTCATGCCTAGAGTTTTGATCTTTTGCCAATCATGGCACTATGGAAATATTCCTCCCAGAATCAACATGGCGTTGGCTTTTACATGTGTTTAAAGGGCGCTTCAAAAGTTCGGTCTCACAGCTCAGAGAGGCTGCTGTTCTGAGTTTCCAGAGACACACTGTTGCGAAAGTGAAGTGTACAGGACAGATCCTTTGGGGACAGAGTAGGTTTTCTTTTGCAGTCATTCCTCAGTAGTCTGGAGGTTGCTTCTGGGGGTACCACATTGAGAAGGGCGCAGCGGCAAACAGAACAATGCAATGGTCCATAATCCATGCCTCCCATGGAGGCAGGAGTGAAGTGTCCTTGCCAAGGAGCTGTTTGTTTTATGATCGTGTTCTACGAAAGACGCTAGTTTGCCAGCTGTTTTTGTTTTTGTTTGTTTGTTTTTTGTTTTTGTTTTGGTCCTGGTAAGAGTGCTATACAAGTTGAAAAATAACTGTCTCTTACCTTCAGTTTCACCTTTTCCCAATGCCTGTGTTGTTTTTTTTTTTTTTTTTTTTTGTCTTAAACAGACTTCCCACCTATCCCATGGATAAGTTACCTGACTTGCCTTGAAGGACTCGACAGTGCCATTGGAACTAGATGAGCGTGGCCTCCGGGCTTTCAGAATGAGTGGACGGTCATGTGGCATGAATCTCCACCACACAGCAAGAACCCCACAGGGGCCGGGGCTACTCACCGGTCAGCCTATTCCTCCCATCAGAGCCCACTCGGCCACTCCCGGCCCCTCCTCCTGTGCCAGCACACCGAGTCCCTCTATTGGAAATCTCGCTAACAGCCTTCAGGTCAAGATGTCCTCTGGAGCAGGGATGGCTCCTCAGAGCAACATGGCCGCAAGCCCCATCCACCTGCCTGCCCTGAGCCCCAGGAGACAGTTACTCGCCAATGGGAAGCCTCAGTTTCAGGTCCCTCAGGCCGGTGGCATAGCAGCATCACTTACTGTAAAGCCCAAGCAACAAGAATTTGGAGACCCCTTTTCTCCAAATCCCGAGAAAGGTAGGATTGTCATTTGGGAATCTCATAAAAGTGGGAATGTTTCATCTGCCCCATGTCTGTTCACTGCCAGCGAGTCCTATAGAAAATACATGTTTCAAGGTTAGAGTCAAGGTTCATGCTCTCCCGCTTGGTAAGGGGCTGGGTGTACACTTCTCTGTGTGTGTAAATGCTAGGCACATGTGTGTGACACCTCGGGGTGGAAGGTAAAGCAGATCAACTTAAAGGGGAAATACGGAGGGGAGGCGATGAAGAGGGTAGGAGCGAGGGGAAACAGCGTGTCTTCCTCTTCCAGGTGGTGGCTCCGCAGTGCCTTATGGGGGAGGTGGGGTGGAGTCCACAGGCAGTGGAGGGCAGGGCCTAACCAGAATTAATGCTATTTGTAAAAAAGTAGTAGTAGAAAAGCTGTGCTTAGAAGGAAAGGGCTAAAAGGGAGACCTTTGAGGAACCAGTGAAATGAGGAGCCAGCAAATACAAATAAGGAAATGAGGAGTGAGATCAGGAGGGATTCAGACAGGAATAATGCATACCTCCTACTGGGGATTGAAACCATGGGCCTATAGTGACATGCTAGAGAAGTGCTCTGCCGAGCAGCCCTGTCCCTGACAGGAATGACAAACATGTATTTGAAATTTGTGAGGGACTAGAGAACTTGGTTAATTTGAAATACGGCATGTGCTTTTAATCCAGTAGTGGATGGATTACCATATATTTCAGATTACAGAGGAGTTGTTGAGGACTGACAAAGTAATTGAGTGACACACTTTCTCTAGCAACTGTGGCCTTAATGGATTTACATTACAGATGATATGTGTGTTTAGTTGAAGAAGAAAAAGAACCTGAATATTACCTACATAACCACAGCTTTTTATGTAAAAGAGCATTCTGTATATTCCTGAAGGTACTTTATCATTTACTATTAAATGTTTTTATTAAATGCACCTAATACAGCCCAGTAGAGTAACTAGCAGGCTTCTGAATGGCCACTAATCCTGTTAATTAAGGTGAATAGTGATTTATAACAGACATGTAGCAAAAGACTCATTTTTCTCAGTGTCTGTGTATTCCGGTGTGTGGAGTGTTTGACATAAAGGAAGAGATGAACAGTAAACATACATGTAGCTTTTATATTTCTTCTACTTTTTTTCTTAATTATTTATATTTAGTCTTAAGTTCCGCTTGGAGTCATTTGCTTTCCTTAGAGGTTACTGGTATTTAAGTTCAGGTCAAGTTTCCCTGGGAACCTTCTCTAGAACAGTCTGTCACTGTTAGGCCACTGTGCCCATGAGACAGAGGACTGAGCTGCTTCCTACCAAACTCCACTGTTTGGTTATAGAGGCATTGTGCCCCGCCCAACTCATCTTGACTTGTGAACTGTAGCTTGCTTTTATAGGAACTTATGTCCACGTGACTGACGGTGGTTATGGAGATGATAGTAATGCGGCAGCATGTGGGAAAAACCTCCCAACATAGACTCAGGGATGGCTCGCCACAGCCCCGGGCACGTGCTGTGGCTGACTTTACTGAGGAAGGTCCAGAAAGAACAAACACCTTGGGGGGGGACACTTCACTAAGACAGACTTCGAGACTATTACACTCCGATAGAAGAAGTCAAATGGCCCCTGGTTGGAAATGTGCGTCGGGAGCTTAGGTTAAGTGAGCCGAACAGAGTGAGTCATCGGGGCCGGTAGACCTTGTAACGCGTGTAGAGCAAGTGTTGCCTCCCAAGCCTTCCCCCGAGGCTTGCTGGCTCTTTGCTAGTGGCCAGCGCCTGGCTTCCCACCAACATGCTTGGAGCATGAGTTCTCCTAGATAAGAAGCTCCGGACAATCTGAAGTTACTTCTCTTCGACTCTCAGCTTTGAATACCACCAGTGGTCTTGGTGAGGCTGGAAGGGTTGAATTGTTCCTGCAGATCTTGTCTAAAGCTAGGCCAGTGACCATCGGTCTGGGATTGCTGAAATGCCAACCGATCGTTTACTCAACAAATAACAATTGAACATAGACTGAGGGGGAGCCATCGCTCTGGAAGGCTTGCCATAGAGCATCCTCCCCTCAGGATGTTTGAGAATTCAGACAAATACAGGGGCAGTTAAAGATGAGGCGCATGGAGGGCCCTGAGAGGGACATGCTGAGAGTAGTGTGGTAGTGAGAGAGCATGTACGGACACATGTGGAGTCCAGAGGTCAACGGGCTTCTCCTCGGCCATTTGAAGTTGGAGTCTCTCACTGCATTTGGAGCTCTCTGGTGTGACCAGCACACCTCTGGAATCTTCCCATCTCTGCTTCCCTGGCTCTGTGGTTACAGACCTGTCTCGCTACTCCTGGCCTTTGTGTGGGTGCCGTGCCACGAATCCAAACTCAACTTCCCGTGCTTGCCCAGCAAACACTACACACTGAGCCATCCCGCTACCCCCCCCCCCCCCGCCTCCATTAACCTCGTGGCAGGTGGGTCTGGGGGGGAGGGGGAGGGGTAGGCTCTCTTAAGCACCCGCTTGCAAAGTGAGGGGTCAGCCTTGTAGTGTCCTCAGTCTGTACATGAGAGAGCGTGAGTGTGTTCATGCATGAGCCGGCAGGCATCTACGGTGTGTGTGTGTATGTGTATGCACACAAGGGAGCTTTCTAGCATTTGTTTCGGGAGAAAAACCACAATCCAAGCCTTGGAGGGGTGAGGTCACGGGAGGTTGCTGGTTTCTGCCTGGCTGCACATGGCTTGGAGATGTGGAGTTTTATCTGCCAACGCTGCAGGGGAGTGAAAAGAAGGCAGCAGATGAAGAGTCTAGAGCGATGCACCAGCCAACGTGTCCGTGTGCTTTGACCCGGGGACAGCGTGTAGTTCTGGGAGTACCAGATGAAGCTCCCAGAAAAAAAGCTTGGGAATGTATATAAATGTGTGTGTGCATGGAAATAGAGACTTACTATAAAGGACTTGCTAATGGTTTTGTGGTGGTGGCCCAGGAGAGGGGATGATTTAACGTCCAGTCTCGGCAGAGGACCCTAGAAGCAGAAGAGCTCATGGTAGAGTCTGTGCCCAACGCCTGAAGGCTGGAGACTCAGGAAGCGTCAGTCTTTCAGCGTGAGTCCAAAGGCAAGAATGACGAAACCAGCATTCCAGTGGAAAGGCGACAGGCAGGAAAGGGTTTCCCCTCCTGTGGGGGGAAGGGTCAGTCTTTTGCTCAGACCATGGTATGATTACCGTGGTGCGTACCGTCCCTCCCCCAGCCCGCTGATGTAAATGTGAACCTCATCCGGAAATGCTTCAGCAGTGATGCCTCACCAAACATTTGAGCACCTTGTAGTCTAGGTAGAGTCACGCAGAAGTAACCAGAGTAGGGCCTCCTTGCGTTCGGACAGTGGTCAGTTTCTGAGTCCAGAGAGGGCTTGTACCCAAAGAACTTAAGTTGTTGAGGATTGTTACAGGGAAGGCTGGTGGGGGGGGTGTAGGCTTGGCAGCGCCGTTTCTGTAGATGAAGGGTTATGTTGCACTCACCTGGAAACACAGTTAAAAGTGGCTTCAGCATCCAATGGCGCGAATTCAGAATGGTACCATGAGGGCACTGGCATGCCACGGTGAACTTAAGGCATCTCAGGGCGCACTATACATTTTGAAGGAATAAGAGAGTTATTCTTTGCCCAGTGGGTAAGCTCTGCCAGTAGGGATGGACACTTTCCATGGTAAATTTTTTGGCGCTTCCCTTGGTGATTTTCGAGAATCTACAACCCTGGAAAGCCCATTTTTGTTCCTGTTCCCAAAAGCGTCGTTCACCATGGCCAGATAAACAAGTGCCCATCATGAGATGAATGAAGAGACATAGGATGATAATGCCTGCATATGCGACTTGAAAAGAAAGGAAATCGTGGCAGATATGCTAACAGATAAACGTTGAGTAAACTGAGCTAAATGAACTACGTCAGCTTCAAAAGCATATGCATATGGCGGGTCCTCTTACGTAAGTTCTTGGAATCGTCAAGTTTATAGAGACAGTGATGGTTGCTAAGAGCTTGGGCAACAGGAACAAGAAACCTGCTAGTACTCAGTCAGCACAGAGATTTGGTTCGAGGTGAGAAAGTTTTGGGATTTGGTGGCTGTTTTCTTTTTTTCATTTTATTTAACTTGGGGGTTTTCTTTGGGAGAGTCTCAAAAGAGTGACCTGGCACTCACTTTGTAGCCTAGGCTGGCCTTGAACTTGGGGAAGTTACTCCTTGTCTGTGCCATCTGAATGCTAAGATTACAGGCGTGAGTCACCACACTGGGCTATTTTCCTACAATTTTAGGAAACAAGTAGATGTGAACAGGCAATGAACATGGTAGGAATTTTTTGCCTTATTGTAAGGTTTGAGAAGTGGTAGGGTATATATACCAAAAGACCCTATATCCCTCCTGACATAGTGCCTATTTAAGAATCAAACAGGGATGCTATTTTTCTTTTAATTTATGAATATTACTTTTTAAAGCAGCTAATAAGTTGCTAGTACATAAATGCTGTTAAGTGTTTACACATAACTCCTTAATAAACGAGGCTGTTAGGTGTTTCTGTGGGCCCGAGGGCACCGTAAAAACGCAGACACTCGGCTGCCACGTCTTTGAGTGCCCAGGGCCTGTCATGAGGCTGTTTTTCTTATGGCTGGGTCACTGTTGGCTGTGCAACTCTGTGCTGTCAGGCCTGAGACTGGAGTGTTCCTCTTGGCTGCACAGAGGCCGCTTCAGTCCAGCTCTGACTAGCGTCTTCCTTCTGAGGAGAGGGGGAAGGAAGGATACAAGCAGAAAGAGAAAAGGATTATTTCCTTAATTTTGTAACCTTTCAACAGCTTCCTGGGAGCACCATCCAGCCATCTCCACCTCAGCTAGCCAGTCTTTTTTTTTTTTTTTTTTTTTTTTTAAATGAACTACTTCTTAATGAGCAAGACTTATTGTTTGCTCTCAGTGTTTTTTTGTCTTTCCTTCCTTCCTTCCTTCCTTCCTTCCTTCCTTCCTTCCTTCCTTCCTTCCTTCCTTCCTTCCTTC